CGAGCGGGAGATTTCGCGACTGACTGTCTGACTGAGTGACTGACTGAGTGACTGAGTGACTGACTGAGTGACTGACTGACTGAGTGAATGACTGACTGGCTGACTGAGTGAGTGACTGACTGACTAAGTGACTGACTAACTGAGTGACTGACTGAGTGACTGTGTCCTTGTTGCAGGTCGACTGTGACTTTGACGAGCGTGAGATTTCGCGACTGACTGTCTGACTAACTGAGTGACTGACTGAGTGACTGAGTGACTGACTGAGTGACTGACTGACTGAGTGAATGACTGACTGGCTGACTGAGTGAGTGACTGACTGACTAAGTGACTGACTAAGTGACTGACTAACTGAGTGACTGTGTCCTTGTTGCAGGTCGACTGTGACTTTGACGAGCGGGAGATTTCGCGACTCAGTCTGTCTGACTGAGTGACTGAGTGACTGAGTGACTGACTGAGTGAATGACTGACTGAGTGACTGAGTGACTAACTAACTGACTAACTGAGTGACTAACTGAGTGACTAACTGAGTGAGTGACTGACTGACTGAGTGAGTGACTGACTGACTAAGTGACTGACTAACTGAGTGACTGTGTCCTTGTTGCAGGTCGACTGTGATTTTGACGAGCGGGAGATTTCGCGACTGACTGTCTGTCTGACTGAGTGACTAACTGAGTGACTAACTGAGTGACTGTCCTTGTTTCAGGTCGACTGTGATTTTGACGAGCGGGAGATTTCGCGACTGACTGTCTGTCTGACTGAGTGACTGACTGAGTGACTGAGTGACTGACTGAGTGACTGACTGGCTGTCTGACTGAATAACTGAGTGACTAACTGAGTGACTGACTAACTGAGTGACTAACTGAGTGACTGTGTCCTTGTTGCAGGTCGACTGTGACTTTGACGAGCGGGAGATTTCGCGACTGACTGTCTGTCTGACTGAGTGACTGACTGAGTGACTAACTGAGTGACTAACTGACTGACTGAGTGACTGAGTGACTGAGTGACTAACTGAGTGACTGACTGACTGAGTGACTGAGTGACTGACTGAGTGACTAACTGAGTGACTGTCCTTGTTGCAGGTCGACTGTGATTTTGACGAGCGGGAGATTTCGCGACTGACTGTCTGTCTGACTGAGTGACTAACTGAGTGACTGACTGAGTGACTAACTGAGTGACTGAGTGACTGACTGAGTGACTAACTGAGTGACTAACTGACTGACTAAGTGACTGACTGACTAACTGTGTGACTAACTGTCTGACTGAGTGACTGACTGAGTGACTAACTGAGTGACTAACTGACTGACTGAGTGACTGACTGAGTAAGTGAGTGACTAACTGAGTGACTGACTAAGTGACTGACTGACTGAGTGACTGTGTCCTTGTTGCAGGTCGACTGTGACTTTGACGAGCGGGAGATTTCGCGACTGACTGTCTGTCTGACTGAGTGACTAACTGAGTGACTGACTGAGTGACTAACTGAGTGACTGAGTGACTGACTGAGTGACTAACTGAGTGACTAACTGACTGACTAAGTGACTGACTGACTAACTGTGTGACTAACTGTCTGACTGAGTGACTGACTGAGTGACTAACTGACTGACTGAGTGACTGACTGACTAAGTGAGTGACTAACTGAGTGACTGACTAACTGACTGACTAACTGAGTGACTGTGTCCTTGTTGCAGGTCGACTGTGACTTTGACGAGCGGGAGATTTCGCGACTGACTGTCTGACTAACTGAGTGACTGACTGAGTGACTGAGTGACTGACTGAGTGACTGACTGTCTGACTAACTGAGTGACTGACTGAGTGACTGAGTGACTGACTGAGTGACTGAGTGACTGAGTGACTGACTAACTGACTGACTAACTGACTAACTGAGTGACTGACTGAGTGACTAACTGAGTGACTGTCCTTGTTGCAGGTCGACTGTGATTTTGACGAGCGGGAGATTTCGCGACTGACTGTCTGACTAACTGAGTGACTGACTGAGTGACTGAGTGACTGACTGAGTGACTGACTGTCTGACTAACTGAGTGACTGACTGAGTGACTGAGTGACTGACTGAGTGACTGAGTGACTAACTGAGTGACTGACTGAGTGACTGAGTGACTGACTGAGTGACTAACTGAGTGACTGTCCTTGTTGCAGGTCGACTGTGACTTTGACGAGCGGGAGATTTCGCGACTGACTGTCTGTCTGACTGAGTGACTAACTGAGTGACTGACTGAGTGACTAACTGAGTGACTGAGTGACTGACTGAGTGACTAACTGAGTGACTAACTGACTGACTAAGTGACTGACTGACTAACTGTGTGACTAACTGTCTGACTGAGTGACTGACTGAGTGACTAACTGAGTGACTAACTGACTGACTGAGTGACTGACTGACTAAGTGAGTGACTAACTGAGTGACTGACTAAGTGACTGACTGACTGAGTGACTGTGTCCTTGTTGCAGGTCGACTGTGACTTTGACGAGCGGGAGATTTCGCGACTGACTGTCTGTCTGACTGAGTGACTAACTGAGTGACTGACTGAGTGACTAACTGAGTGACTGAGTGACTGACTGAGTGACTAACTGAGTGACTAACTGACTGACTAAGTGACTGACTGACTAACTGTGTGACTAACTGTCTGACTGAGTGACTGACTGAGTGACTAACTGACTGACTGAGTGACTGACTGACTAAGTGAGTGACTAACTGAGTGACTGACTAACTGACTGACTAACTGAGTGACTGTGTCCTTGTTGCAGGTCGACTGTGACTTTGACGAGCGGGAGATTTCGCGACTGACTGTCTGACTAACTGAGTGACTGACTGAGTGACTGAGTGACTGACTGTCTGACTAACTGAGTGACTGACTGAGTGACTGAGTGACTGACTGAGTGACTGAGTGACTGAGTGACTGACTAACTGACTGACTAACTGACTAACTGAGTGACTGACTGAGTGACTAACTGAGTGACTGTCCTTGTTGCAGGTCGACTGTGATTTTGACGAGCGGGAGATTTCGCGACTGACTGTCTGACTAACTGAGTGACTGACTGAGTGACTGAGTGACTGACTGAGTGACTGACTGTCTGACTAACTGAGTGACTAACTGACTGACTGACTAACTGAGTGACTAACTGAGTGACTGTGTCCTTGTTGCAGGTCGACTGTGACTTTGACGAGCGGGAGATTTCGCGACTGACTGTCTGTCTGAGTGACTGAGTGACTGACTGACTGACTGAGTGACTAACTGAGTGACTGACTGAGTGACTGAGTGACTGACTGAGTGACTAACTGAGTGACTGTCCTTGTTGCAGGTCGACTGTGACTTTGACGAGCGGGAGATTTCGCGACTGACTGTCTGTCTGACTGAGTGACTAACTGAGTGACTGACTGAGTGACTAACTGAGTGACTGAGTGACTGACTGAGTGACTAACTGAGTGACTAACTGACTGACTAAGTGACTGACTGACTAACTGTGTGACTAACTGTCTGACTGAGTGACTGACTGAGTGACTAACTGAGTGACTAACTGACTGACTGAGTGACTGACTGACTAAGTGAGTGACTAACTGAGTGACTGACTAAGTGACTGACTGACTGAGTGACTGTGTCCTTGTTGCAGGTCGACTGTGACTTTGACGAGCGGGAGATTTCGCGACTGACTGTCTGTCTGACTGAGTGACTAACTGAGTGACTGACTGAGTGACTAACTGAGTGACTGAGTGACTGACTGAGTGACTAACTGAGTGACTAACTGACTGACTAAGTGACTGACTGACTAACTGTGTGACTAACTGTCTGACTGAGTGACTGACTGAGTGACTAACTGACTGACTGAGTGACTGACTGACTAAGTGAGTGACTAACTGAGTGACTGACTAACTGACTGACTAACTGAGTGACTGTGTCCTTGTTGCAGGTCGACTGTGACTTTGACGAGCGGGAGATTTCGCGACTGACTGTCTGTCTGACTGAGTGACTGACTGAGTGACTGACTAACTGACTGACTGACTGACTGACTGAGTGACTGACTAACTGAGTGACTGTGTCCTTGTTGCAGGTGGACTGTGACTTTGACGAGCGGGAGATTTCGCGACTGACTGTCTGTCTGACTGAGTGACTGACTGAGTGACTGACTAACTGACTGACTGACTGACTGACTGAGTGACTGACTAACTGAGTGACTGTGTCCTTGTTGCAGGTGGACTGTGACTTTGACGAGCGGGAGATTTCGCGACTGACTGTCTGTCTGACTGAGTGACTAACTGAGTGACTGACTGACTGAGTGACTGAGTGACTAACTGAGTGACTAACTGAGTGACTGTCCTTGTTGCAGGTGGACTGTGACTTTGACGAGCGGGAGATTTCGCGACTGACTGTCTGTCTGACTGAGTGACTAACTGAGTGACTGACTGACTGACTGAGTGAGTGACTGACTGAGTGACTGACTAACTGAGTGACTAACTGAGTGACTGTCCTTGTTGCAGGTGGACTGTGACTTTGACGAGCGGGAGATTTCGCGACTGACTGTCTGACTGACTGAGTGACTAACTGACTGAGTGACTGAGTGACTGACTGACTGAGTGACTGACTGAGTGACTAACTGAGTGACTGTGTCCTTGTTGCAGGTGGACTGTGACTTTGACGAGCGGGAGATTTCGCGACTGACTGTCTGACTGACTGAGTGACTGACTGAGTGACTGACTGACTGAGTGACTAACTGAGTGACTAACTGAGTGACTGTCCTTGTTGCAGGTCGACTGTGACTTTGACGAGCGGGAGATTTCGCGACTGACTGAGTGACTAACTGAGTGACTAACTGAGTGACTGACTGAGTGACTAACTGAGTGACTAACTGAGTGACTGTGTCCTTGTTGCAGGTGGACTGTGACTTTGACGAGCGGGAGATTTCGCGACTGACTGTCTGTCTGACTGAGTGACTGACTGAGTGACTAACTGACTAACTGAGTGACTAACTGAGTGACTGTGTCCTTGTTGCAGGTGGACTGTGATTTTGACGAGCGGGAGATTTCGCGACTGACTGTCTGTCTGACTGAGTGACTGACTGACTGACTGAGTGACTGACTGAGTGACTAACTGAGTGACTGTGTCCTTGTTGCAGGTGGACTGTGACTTTGACGAGCGGGAGATTTCGCGACTGACTGTCTGTCTGACTGAGTGACTAACTGAGTGACTGTCCTTGTTGCAGGTGGACTGTGACTTTGACGAGCGGGAGATTTCGCGACTGACTGTCTGTCTGACTGAGTGACTGACTAACTGAGTGACTGTGTCCTTGTTGCAGGTGGACTGTGACTTTGACGAGCGGGAGATTTCGCGACTGACTGACTGACTAACTGAGTGACTAACTGAGTGACTAAGTGACTGACTAACTGAGTGACTGTCCTTGTTGCAGGTGGACTGTGACTTTGACGAGCGGGAGATTTCGCGACTGACTGTCTGTCTGACTGAGTGACTGACTGAGTGACTAACTGACTAAGTGAGTGACTAACTGAGTGAGTGACTGACTGACTGACTGAGTGACTGACTGACTAAGTGACTGACTAACTGAGTGACTAACTGAGTGACTGTCCTTGTTGCAGGTCGACTGTGACTTTGACGAGCGGGAGATTTCGCGACTGACTGTCTGACTAACTGTCTGTCTGACTGAGTGACTGACTGAGTGACTGACTGAGTGACTGACTGACTGACTGACTGACTGTCTGTCTGACTGACTGACTAACTGAGTGACTGTCCTTGTTGCAGGTGGACTGTGACTTTGACGAGCGGGAGATTTCGCGACTGACTGTCTGACTAACTGAGTGACTAAGTGAGTGACTGACTGAGTGACTGACTGAGTGACTGACTGAGTGACTAACTGAGTGACTGAGTGACTAACTGACTGACTGACTGAGTGACTAACTGAGTGACTGTCCTTGTTGCAGGTGGACTGTGACTTTGACGAGCGGGAGATTTCGCGACTGACTGTCTGTCTGACTGAGTGACTAACTGAGTGACTGACTGACTGAGTGACTAAGTGTCTGAGTGACTGACTGAGTGACTGACTAACTGAGTGACTGACTGAGTGACTGACTGAGTGACTGACTAACTGAGTGACTAACTGAGTGACTGTGTCCTTGTTGCAGGTGGACTGTGACTTTGACGAGCGGGAGATTTCGCGACTGACTGTCGGCTTCTCAGGCAGTGACTTGCGGGAGCTCTGCAGGCATGCGGCTGTGGGGCGCGTGAGGGAGGCACTCAGGGAAGACGCCGGGGACGGGTGACTAAATACACAGTCACTCAGTCAGTCACTCAGTCAGTCACTCAGTCAGTCACTCAGTCAGTCACTCAGTCAGTCAGTCACTCAGTCAGTCAGTCAGTCACTCAGTCAGTCACTCAGTCAGTCACTCAGTCACTCAGTCAGTCACTCAGTCAGTCAGTCACTCAGTCAGTTAGTTACACAGTCACTCAGTCAGTCACTCAGTCAGTCACTCAGTCAGTCACTCAGTCAGTCAGTCACTCAGTCAGTTAGTTACAAGTCACTCAGTCAGTCACTCACTCAGTCACTCAGTCAGTCACACAGTCAGTCACTCAGTCACTCAGTCAGTCACTCAGTCAGTCACTCAGTCAGTTAGTCACTCAATTACACAGTCACTCAGTCAGTCACTCAGTCAGTCACTCAGTTACACAGTCAGTCACTCAGTCAGTCAGTCACTCAGTCAGTCACTCAGTTAGTCACTCAGTCAGTTACACAGTCAGTTACACAGTCAGTCAGTCAGTCACTCAGCAACTCACTCACTCAGCCACTCACTCACCCACTCAGTCACTCACTCAGTCACTCACTCAGTCAGTCACTCAGTCAGTTAGTCACTCAATTACACAGTCACTCAGTCAGTCAGTCACTCAGTCACTCAGTCAGTCACTCAGTCAGTTACACACTCAGTCACTCAGTCAGTCACTCAGTTACACAGTCACTCAGTCAGTCACTCAGTGAGTCACTCACTCAGCAACTCACTCACTCAGCCACTCACTCACCCACTCAGTCAGTCACTCAGTCAGTCAATCAGTCAGTTAGTCAGTTACACAGTTAGTCACTCAATCAGTCACTCAGTTACACAGTCACTCAGTCAGTCACTCACTCACTCAGTCACTCACTCAGCCACCCACTCAGTCACTCACTCAGTCACTCACTCACTCACTCTCACTCACTCACTCAGTCACTCACTCAGTCACTCACTCAGTCACTCACCAAGTCAGAGTGACTGAGCGACTGACTTGATTTGCGATGTGACAATTTTCTTGACGTTTTTATTATTTTTTTTAACACGCCACGCTTCAGTTGAATGTTCACCGAGCAAATAGATTTAAAACGTGCGGATGGCGTGCATTATCGCCAACGTTTAAACCGCTCGGTTAATTCAATTAAATTATTAAAACAATAAGATTTATCACGACATTTCGACTTCACAACGCAGAGCAATCATCATCATCGTCATCAGGATGTGGAAACCATTATAATTAGACGCACCGTGCACGCGTTTTATGTACGTAACATCATTACTATTATTTTTATTTTTAACGCTTATCGAAACGTGAGTGGCTTTATCTGGTAGAGAAACATCGATTTTACCTCAGAAATGCGATTATTATTAATATAATTATTAGATTTGACGTCGGCTCGTGACAAAAGTCACTGCAGGAATCAATTAGGATAACGATACTCATTAATATTCTTGGTTCTTTGGGGTAAAGTCACCACCACGTAGATTGGGAAATAATATAAATATAAATTATCACGACGTTTCGACTTCACAACGCAAAGCAATCATCATCATTGTCATCAGGATGTGGAAACCATTATAATTAGACGCAGCTCGTACGCGTTTTATGTACGTAACATAATTATTTTTTATTTATTTTTAACGCTTATCGAAACGTGAGTGGCTTTATCTGGTAGAGAAACATCGATTTTACCTCAGAAATGTGATTATTATTATTATTAATATTATTAGATTTGACGTCGGCAAGTGACAAAAGTCACTGCAGGAATCAATTAGTATAACGATACTCATTAATATTCTTGGTTCTTTGGGGTTAAGTCACCACCACGTAGATAGGGAAATAATATAAATATAAAACAATAACATTTATCACGACGTTTCGACTTCACAACGCAAAGCAATCATCATCATCGTCATCAGGATGTGGAAACCATTATAATTAGACGCAGCACGTACACGTTTTATGTACGTAACATAATTATTATTTTTATTTTTAACGCTTATCGAAACGTGAGTGGCTTTATCTGGTAGAGAAACATCGATTTTACCTCAGAAATGCGATTATTATTATTAATACAATTATTAGATTTGACGTCGGCTAGTGACAAAAGTCACTGCAGGAATCAATTAGGATAACAATACTCATTAATATTCTTGGTTCTTTGGGGTAAAGTCACCACCACGTAGATAGGGAAATAATATAAATATAAATTATCACGACGTTTCTTCTTCACAACGCAAAGCAATCATCATCATCGCCATCAGGATGTGGAAACCATTATAATCAGACGCAGCACTAACGCGTTTTATGTACGTAACATAATTATTATTTTTATTTTTAACGCTATCGAAACGTGAGTGGCTTTACCTGGTAGAGAAACATCGATTTTACCTCAGAAATGTGATTATTATTATTAATATAATTATTAGATTTGACGTCGGCTAGTGACAAAAGTCACTGCAGGAATCAATTAGGATAACAATACTCATTAATATTCTTGGTTCTTTGGGGTAAAGTCACCACCACGTAGATAGGGAAATAATATAAATATAAATTATCACGACGTTTCTTCTTCACAACCCAAAGCAATCATCATCATCGTCATCAGGATGTGGAAACCATTATAATTAGACGCAGCTCGTACACGTTTTATGTACGTAACATAATTATTATTTTTATTTTTAACGCTTATCGAAACGTGAGTGGCTTTATCTGGTAGAGAAACATCGATTTTACCTCAGAAATGTGATTATTATTATTAATATAATTATTAGATTTGACGTCGGCTAGTGACAAAAGTCACTGCAGGAATCAATTAGTATAACGATACTCATTAATATTCTTGGTTCTTTGGGGTAAAGTCACCACCACGTAGATAGGGAAATAATATAAATATAAAACAACAAGATTTATCACGACGTTTCGACTTCACAACGCAAAGCAATCATCATCATCGTCATCAGGATGTGGAAACCATTATAATTAGACACAGCACTAACGTCATTATTATTATTTTTTTAACGCTTATCGAAACGTGAGTGGCTTTATCTGGTAGAGAAACATCGATTTTACCTCAGAAATGCGATTGTTATTACTAATATAATTATTAGATTTGACGTCGGCTCGTGACAAAAGTCACTGCAGGAATCAATTAGTATAACAATACTCATAATTTTGATTTAAATTTTGATTTAAATTTTGGTTCTTTGGGGTAAAGTCACCACCACGTAGATTGGGAAATAATATAAATATAAATTATCACGACGTTTCTTCTTCACAACGCAAAGCAATCATCATCATCGTCATCAGGATGTGGAAACCATTATAATCAGACGCAGCACTAACGCGTTTTATGTACGTAACATAATTATTATTTTTATTTTTAACGCTATCGAAACGTGAGTGGCTTTATCTGGTAGAGAAACATCGATTTTACCTCAGAAATGCGATTATTATTATTAATATAATTATTAGATTTGACGTCGGCTGCAGGAATCAATTAGCATAAGGATACTCGTAATATTCTTGGTTCTTTGGGGTTAAGTCACCACCACGTAGATAGGGAAACAATATAAATATTAAACAACAAGATTTATCACGACGTTTCGACTTCACAACGCAAAGCAATCATCATCATCGTCATCAGGATGTGGAAACCATTATAATTAGACGCACCGCGTACGCGTTTTATGTACGTAACATAATTATTATTTTTATTTTTAATGCTTATCGAAACGTGAGTGGCTTTATCTGGTAGAGAAACATCGATTTTACCTCAGAAATGCGATTATTATTATTAATATAATTATTATTAGATTTGACGTGGGCTCGTGACAAACGTCACTGCAGGAATCAATTAGTATAACGATACTCATTAATATTCTTGGTTCTTTGGGGTAAAGTCACCACCACGTAGATAGGGAAATAATAAAAAAATATATGTTTTTATAATTTTATTAATATAATAAAAACGTGTAAAAACATATAGAATAATGAAAACATATTTTTATTATTTTATTGACATAACAATTTTTTTACCAATTCAATAATAAAAATATATATTTTTTACAATAAAATAACAAAAATATATCTGCACTATTTCACTGTAAAAAAATAAATATTTTTTAAAATATTACATAAACAAAATTAAACAAAATAAAAAAAATACATTTTCATCATCATCATCATCCCATTGTTTCCCTTCGAACGCGGTGACCTTACCGACGGAAAACAACAATAAGTGGGTTCAGGTTGAGTCGCACCGTTCGAGGATACAACAACAACAAGAACAACAAACAAACGGGGCTTGTTAAATGAAAGCGTGTCAAACACAAACACTCAAAAACACACTCAAAAACACACTCAAAAACACACTCAAAAACACCGCCAAAATCCCTTCCGGTCTAAAGAACGACGGAGCTGTAAAATCTTGCTTGGCGTGGCGGTGGTACGGTAGGCGGGGAAAATCCAGGGCGCGGGTGATTTCACGTTTTGAAAGTTAAATTTTGATTGAAAGCTTTCGTGACTGCACTAATTCATATCCTTAGTTTTTTTTTCTCGGTAAAGTCACCACCACGTTGAAGGGGAAACAATAAAAATAATAAAGTATATATATATATAAAACAATAACATTTATCACGACGTTTCGACTTCACAACGCAAAGCAATCATCATCATCGTCATCAGGATGTGGAAACCATTATAATTAGACGCAGCTCGAACGCGTTATATGTACGTAACAACATAATTATTATTATTTT